CTGGCTGGGGAATTCTGGGAGTTGAAGTCCACACATCTTAAAGTTGCCAAGGTTGAGAAACACTGACTTATACAGTGTTATACAATAATACTGTTCTGGCTTACATATAAATTCGACTTAAGGGCAGACCTTGAGAACGGAACTCTGTTCTTAAACTGGGGAGTTCCTGTATTCTTTGAATGAAGCTTAACATCTGGTGGTCCCACAGCAGCCTCCTTTGCCTGGCAGCAGAATTTACTCAGTTAACTGTGCTTGGCAGGTTCTGGGTGGCAAGCATCAAATTCAAAAGCAAACATGAAAGCAGATGCTAATGATATACTGTAACTGATTTACTACAGCCTTCTTCCAAAAAGTTTTTTTTTAATTTCTCAGTCTAATCTACAGCTGGGCTTTCCTTGGGTGTCCCATCCAAGGGTCAGCCGAGCCAAGCCCCACTTGGCTGTTGGAGATCAAGTAAGCTGGCCGGATGGCTGAATCTGGGGTTCCGCATTTAGTTTACGGTTGTAAGCGCAAGGACCGGTTGTAAGCCACTTTTTTCAGCACCGTCGTAACTTCAAACAGTCATTAAACAAATGGTCGTAAGTCAAGGACTACCTTTATTGTATACTCATTCCTTATTTTCTTTCAAAGGTGCTTGCTACAGGCTCTGAAATTGACCCCATCAGAAACCCAGTTGAATCCTTGCTGCTCCTGTTGTGATTGTCTTGCCTGCTTACTAACCACCTTCTCCCTTCCCTTTCTGTTTTTCAGAAGCCTTTGAAATGGTAGTGCGGCACGCCAGGAACTACACCAACTCAATGTTCAGGAATTACTACCGCCATGTGGCTGCCAGAACTTTTAAATTGGTGGGGGAATTCTTTACCGACATCTCCTTGTCCATCTTGGGTTCGGATATCAACGTCAATGACATGGTGGATGAGCTCTTTGACAGCTTGTTCCCCTTGATCTACCCGCCCGTGATTAATCCAGGAGCCCCCGATCCTCCCGTTGAGACCACGGAGTGTCTGCGGCTAGCCCGGCGAGACTTAAAGGCTTTTGGCCCCTTCCCCAAAATCATGATGACCCAGGTGTCCAAGTCCCTACAGGTGACTCGGGTCTTCCTCCAGGCACTCAACCTTGGCATTGAAGTGGTCAACACCACCGATCATTTGAGGTTCAGCAAGGATTGTGGACGGGCGCTCCTGAAGATGTGGTACTGCCCCCAGTGCCAGGACCTCCTTACAGTCAAGCCGTGCGCAGGATTCTGTGGTGGTGTGTTGCAAGGATGCTTGGCCAGCGTGGTGGAAATCGACAGTTACTGGCGGGAATACCTCCGCTCCCTGGAAGGAATGGTGAAGGGCATGAAGGGCACCTACGACATCGAACACGTTCTCCTCAACCTCTTCTCTTTGGTTCAGGACGCAATCGCTTACATGCGGAAGAATGCTGGGAAGTTGGCCACAACTGTGAGTTCTCCTTTTACTGGAGTGATTTGCTAGTGCATGGGGTGCTGGGGGTACGTTGGTAGTGTTACAGGAAAGTCCCCCCTAACAAAGAAAGGAACATGCCTTCTCTCACGGGGAGAGAAAGTTGATGGACCATTTATAACACATAGAGCCAATGGTTGATGCTTGGCTGATGGGGTTCCATAAAGACATGTCACAGGAGACATTTTGGGACTTGTTTAACCAGCAACTCTGTCCTTGTGAAGAGGACTTGGAAGGAGCTGAGATCGTATTGTAGGCCATGGTATGGCGGGGTTATGGACAGTAAAAGGTTCCTGGTCTTTCTCTACCTGCTGTGATTTTAAGATGATTGTGTGATCATTGTGGCCAGGCACAAGACATCCTGCTCCATGTTGGTGTGTAATTGGGCAAGAAGCTGGGGAGTTTTGTTTGGGTGGTGGTGGAGGGAAGGGAAGCAGGGGAGGACCCCGAGCAAGTGGCAAATGTAACCCTTCCTATAAACCAGTGGTTCTCAAACTTGGCAACCTTAAGACATGTGGACTTCAACTCCCAGAATTCAAGCATGGCTGGCTTGGGAATTCTGGGAGTTGAAGTCCACATGTCTTAAGGTTGCCAAGTTTGAGAAACGCGGCTGTGAACTAAATGAAGCCATGAAATGGGATGAAGAATTTCTGCCGTAGCAGAGCCCTCTAATTGCAAGGCATGCGCTGCCTTTGGGTGGGGGGAGAAGGAGAGAGGGAAAGGCAGGTGATTTTAAGCAAATGGCTTTTCTGTTCTGGGGTTAATAACTCGTGAACAATTTACTGGTACATTAAAGGTAAACAAAGATTCAAATGGATAACCAGGGGAGACTCTTGATTAAGACGCTGCTAAAGAAAAGTGTCAGGTGCTTCATTGTTCCTCGCCGCCACAAAGCGTTGCAAAACCACGCCAGCAAGAAACCCTCCTTCCAGCAGCTGTAAGGAGAAGGAGGAAACAGGGAAGGAGAAGCTCGGATCTATTTTGGTAGCAATGACTCCGAGGCAATTTATGGTAAGAGTAGGTTGGGTAGGAAGCCTAATAAATAATCATGGTGTGAGATGAAATCCGTTCCGTTGGTACCCAAAGAACAGAGACGCTGTGCTGTTGGGAGACTCGTCTGTTAGCATCTCGAGGAGACGAAAGGCGGGTGTGCGCAGGGTGCAAGGGGCTTCCCGCGCATCGGGACATCCTTGTGGGAATGACGTGCATTAGATCGTGCAGGTGCAATGCGCTTTTGTATGCGGGCGCCCAAGGTGAATGTGAACTTGGGCGCAGACCCAAGTCCGGTTGGGGGAGGAGACACCCCAAACTGATAAGAAGCTGTTTCCAGATATCAGCTGCCTTATTTTCCTCCTGAATTTTGTGTCCTTGAGCGCTCTCCCTTAATTAGGCATCTGATCTCTAATAATTCTTACACCTGGTTATCTTTCGGGTTCGGCTGTTTTACGCAAAGATGTGGCAACAGGGGCATTCCTCAGTCTATTCTTCTCAATCTGGTGCCCTCCGAGGGCACAGGGCAGTGCCACCTCCAAGACGGTTGCAGATGAGGGCTCACACGATGCTCCTCCAAACTGGAAAAAAAATTCCTCGCACTTAGAAAACAAGCATGCCAGGAAAACGGCTCTTGGCTAGCCACGTACTTTCCCACGTTCAGGGATTACTTTGTGCAGGAACATATTCAGACATCTGCTTCCCAAAGCCCAGACACAGATTTGTTCTTGTAAGTAAGAAAGCCTAATTCAGTAAGTTGGCTGATCTCTGGCATTTCTCCTCAAAAACTTTGGCAGCCCTGGATGATTAGCGATTGCGGTCAAAAGGTCCTCTGACGTTAAGGCTGCAGACGAAATACACAACCACACAAGTGGTAGTTTTAACACCTCCTGCACCTCGGGATCAACCAGGAGATGAGAAATCAGGTTTAGAAATTTTCCACAATTTTTGCGGGCAGAGAAAGTAGGGAGATGATTTGTTGCATTCTTTGAAAGTTGTTTTAGGGGTTTGAAGAAATGGCAGTTCTGAGAATCTTCTCTTTTTAACATTGCTGGGCTGCAAATTGCTTGCAGGTGATTCTGTCTTTTGCAAAATGTTATCCCTGTGCTCAGACAGGTGGAGAGACTTGGAGGAGATGTGAAAAAAACTAAAAATGTTTTCACCTTGAAAAATATCCATTCGGGCTGCGGGCGGGTGCTGAAAGAAGGCTGCTGCCAGGACAAACGGTGCCTTTCTGATCTCCATCTCTCCCTCCGGAGGTCCCAAAGGAGTGCGATGTGCTTTGGGAAAGCTGGCAAGTTGCAATTTCAGCTTTGCTTTTCCCTGACTTTCCATCAATCCAGTGCAGAGTAAGAGCATGGCAGTGCTGGAAGCATTGCCCTCACTCTGAACTGGCTGTTTAAATTCTTGCTGGAAATTGGCTTTTATATAGTTCCTCTGACTGCGTAGGTCACAGTGACACTGTGGTCAGAAACATGATTGCAGAGGCCTGCCTGTGTAGCTGAACATATCTGAGCTTTAACAAATGCTTCACTGTACTGGTTAACCGCATCAACGGTGGATGAGTAGGTTCTGCAGTCTGGAAGAAATGCCTAATTGCTGAGAATTGTTATTATAGGACATGACCTTTTCTCTAAATCATTTTTATTGCCGTTAACGAGATATCTTTCTGTAATGGACATTGATGTTTTCTATGGTTCATGGCTGGGATATTTCCTAATGGGGCCTCATCTTAAAAGACAGTCTTTATTTGTACGTTTATTATGCTTTTAAATATCTAAGTAATTCAAATTCCCTAGGTAGTCCAGAAGTAAAACAGAAATATAAGTGCAAACAATAAATATGAGCTTCAGAAATTCTGACATCGAAAGGGGGGAGGTAGAAATGCAACACCCCAAATCAAAGCGAAAGCAGAGAAAGAAGATAAGAAGAAAATCAACAGGAACGAATAAGGTTCTTAAAATTGCCACTTTGTGGGTTAAATGGGGTACCTGGAGATGAATCTGAGCTTGTGGATCTAAGAGACCAGGTGGGCAAGACCAAGGGACGAGCCATTTGGTGCATTAGCGGGTAAAATCAGAATTTTAAATCTGAGCCTGGAAACAGATTGGCAACTGGTACAGATGGCGGCAGGCTGGAATAAGAGGTTACTCAACCAGTTCAGCCCCGTCTTCTCAAGGGTGAGAAGAGGAATCTATAGGAGACCCAAAGACACAAGTGTGACATTGATCATGGCATTGTGCCAGCCCATTTAGAGGAGAAAAGCCCATGCCTTAGATCAGTGTTTCTCAACCTTGGCAACTTTAAGATGTGTGGACTTCATCTCCCAGAATTCCTCCAGCCAGCAAGCTGGCTGGAGGAATTCTGGGAATTGAAGTTTACACATCTTAAAATTGCCGAGGTTGAGAAACACTGCTTTAGAAGACAAACACTATTTATGGTGTGAACTGATCCTAACGGGTGTGTGTGTGCTGTTTTATATTGGTTGAAAGTATATTTAGGAGAGATTTAATCTGATAGCGCATCCTTCTTCTGCAGTTTAAAGAGACCTAGATAAGAGCTGAAAATTCACACGCCCCATTCATATCCTAGACTTTGGAAGGGGGCAATAGACCATCACTTTTGGGGTTTAATTTTGACAGGGCCCTAGGAAGGTGACTTTTGTGCCCATGTACAAGTTGGCCCTCCAAGGGAGATTAAAGTGAGAGGGCATTTTTTTATCCCAGTCTTCCAGCCAAACACTTGTAATTTGATGGATCTCTCTGGGTTGTTATCATCTTCCTGGCCCGGCTCCAGAGGAGGATCTTGATAGGAATGTAAATCTAAACATGATGGGAGCCTTTACAAGGATGCTTCCATCCTTTCCAAAATTGTGATTACTTCTACCAACTGTTAATTAAATGGCCAGCGTTCTTGTTATGCAGAACTAGAGCGGCGTTTTATAAATATGTACACTTGCTGTTAAGTTGCTAATAGGGAGGAAGGGAAGGAGAAAGAGGCCTCATTAAGGAGATTGGGTAGTCTCAGCGCTGTCCTCCATCCTCTGCTCTGGTTTTATGAGCAGCAACTTGTACCGGGCCTTATTAAAGTCATTGCGGGACAAGTTAATGCTCCGTTTCCAAGAATATTGCTCTTGACTACAACGACAGGGATCAGAAGCCCAGCGCGGTAGCTAATTGTGCAAATCACCTTAGAAAAAGCTTCCCTCTTGCAGATCTAATGGCTTGCTTCTCCCCAGACAGCTCGGTGAATCTTTTTCATTCTTGTGAAAGTCCTCTTTGCATCATGGAAGCAACGGGTTTGGAATGCAGGTAGTCCTCGACTTACAACCATTCAAAGTTATGACGGCACTGAAAAAGTGAGTTACGGCCAGCCCTCAACTTATGACTGTTGCAGCTTCCCCGCAGCGTGATCAAAATTCGGGCACTTGGCAACCAGCATGTATTTACGATGGTTGCAGTATCCTGGGGGTCACGTGATCGCCATTTGCGACCTTCCCAGGGGGCTTCCGACAAGCAACGTCAATGGGGGAAGTTGGATTTGTTTAACAACCTCAGCAAAAAAAGTCATAAAATCAGGTGTAACTCACTTAATGACTGCATCGCTTAGCGATGGAAGTTCCGGTCCAATTGTGGTCGTAAGTCAAGAACTACCTGTAAGGCTTTTGAAACTCTGCAGTTGAATTTTAGTTAGCTCCAGACAGAAAAAATTATCCTGCATTTCTGTGCTACTAATTGTTGTGGAGGAAGAGAGTTTCTGGTGGAAGAGAGTTTCTGCCTCTGTAAGGACTTTCAGAAGTACAGCACTTCTGTAACCCTTTTGTGAAGTTCTCCTTACTTGGCTGTGAGGCAGCCAAGGGATAGGGGTGAGCCCTCCGTCTTTCCTTCACAAACTCTGTTCAGTTGTGTACAGCCTCTCTGGCTTCCCCCATTTCCCACACAGTGGTGTCAAGTGGGAGGAAGTAGGGAGGATCACTGTCTGTCCCCTCC